CCTGTCATCCAGACTTGATGATTTGTATATTAAATTTTTGCAAGTATTCTCCTGTCTGTGGGGTTTTGTTTTGTTTTTCAATATCAACAACTTTATTGGCAAGTCTTCATTCCTTCTGATTGTCAGTATTTCTTTGTGGTGAGTTGATCCTGAAACTTGTTCAGCCTTTTACCATCATTACTCATTTTACCTCCCACATTATTGCATCTGCCTTCTTTTTGGAGGTACAAAATGATGTTTTGTACATGTTAAAATACACATCCAGTTCTCAGTACCTCTTTCTGTGCTGTCAACTGGGAGGGTCTCTCTGCTTTTATATCATTTACCTCATTTCTTTTAGTGGGGCTGGGAGTTGGGGGGGGGGAACTGGTATTTTTTTCTTTTCCAGTGACTGTAGCCTTAGCATATTTTAGGATGTTCTAGCTGTCTCCCACACTTAACAGCTTTTGTAAGTCTTTTCATTGCAACATGCTCCCAAGATTTCTCCAAGAATTAATGTTTCAAATCACTGTATGTTGCACGACAACCCATCACTTAATCTGGTATATTGAATTGTGCAGTTTATCATCATGGGTGTTGAAATTAGTGAACACTGAGGGGGTACATATACCTTGGAGGACCTTGGCTTTAGTACAACTGCTTCTGATTACCCGACTCTCACAAGTGATTCTTTCTATTGAAAAATAGGTGCCTGCTCATGCATTTAATTTAGATTTGTCTATTGCTAAATACACAACTGAGATTGCAGCCATCAGTGGTATTTTTCATCAGGCAAAAACCTTATGGCCAAATCTGTCATCACCCTTAAGACGGAACTCCTCTTGCTTCTGCCTAATTTTCCAAGCCTCTGGTATATAAATCATAAATGCACAGTCTGTGCAGTGTTAGAATTTTAGGACTCTCTCTTTAGTAGTAGTTGAATGTGAGTATGTAAGGACAAAATTCGACCTTTAAATGACTGTAAAGGGCCAAAGCAGATACTTGGCAAGCTTTTGTTATTGCAATATTAATCAAGTGAAGAATCATCATAATCCTGGAAACTAAATAGCCATTGTAGTGATTTTTATCACCAGGGAAATTGTTCATCTGTCAGTAAGATTGTTACTAGGAAGGGGAAAATAAGGACTGTTAAAATTGCTTCAGACTGCTGAATCCTTGAGTCCCTCTAGACTCAAAGCTTGAATTGTTTTTTGAGAGGGGTGGGTTGAGAAGGGTTGCTACAGGAAAGCTGTAGGTTAATCAGTTTCAGTAACACCAGTGAATGTAAGCCTGAGATCTCTTGAGGACACAAGGAGAGTGATGGGAGAAGGCAGGATGGAGAAAGGGACGGGGAGGCTTCAGAAACTTATTGTTTTGTAATTTTTTGTTTCTGGATGGCCCTTTCACAGAGGAGGAAGGTTGTTGATAAAAGGAAAGAGAAAGAAGTGGGGGGATGGCATAATGTTCACTGTCTGTGTTTTCATCTAATTTAATCCAGTGGATATTAATGAGGATGAATACAACTGGGACAGAAGGAGGCAGGTGCAGGCAGGCAGGAGTGACAGAGACATGCTTCTCTAGGACACATCCTTGAAGGACCCAGAAAACCACATGAGAATATGCTTTACCTCTCGGAGCCCAACCTGGTGTGACACAGGTGTGTGAGGAGACGTACCCATGCAAGAGTGTCCTCAGGGTGTACTAGGACAGCCTGTCCCTCCACAAAGCCACCTCCGGTAGGTGACATCTCTGCTGGTGTCACTGTGTGGTGGCAGTGGGAATCATAGTGTACCCAACCATGCTGTAGCCTGAGGGGTGGGTCTGTCAGGCTGTGCAGAGGTTGTTCTGGAAGGGGAGCTTTCTCTTTCTGCTGTGGGGGGACATGTCTTTGTACAGGATGACTCCCTCAAAGTGGGGAACAATCATTAGCGAGTGAGGGTATGGGGTGGCTCTCTTAGGGTGGGTTGTCTCCCAGCAAAGAGGGTGAGTGAATTTGGAGGCAGGAACCCTTTTGTATGAACGGTGTGTCCAGGAAGTTTGTGTGAGATGTCATGAGTTGTGTCCATACAGCAGATGCAGAGGTGGGGGGGAAAAGTCTGTGTGTGCAGGTGACGCGGATCGTCCTTGTACAAAGCACGTCTCTTTGTGTGGGAAGTGGTGTCATTCTGTGCAGAGCTGCCTTGGAGGAGCTTGTCTGATGACTGCCTCTGAGGGTAGCTCCTTCATCCAAGACTTTCTGGAGGGGTCAGCATGCATGGAGCCACCAAGGGTGGCTGGGTGAGGGTCCTGGTGGGGTGTGAAGGTGGGCGTGCAGGTAGCACCTCCAAGGCCACCACCCCGCGTCCCTGGGGACCACCAGCCACCCCATGTCCCCTGGGAACCATCGGCCACCTCAGGCAGCATCCCTCTCTACCAGGCAGGCCATGGCCACTGTGTCCTTCATTATTGTCACCCCCAGATTGTGATACTGTCACAAAACTGTTGCTAGGCAACAAATGTGGTTACCGGGTCTCAGCGAATAGCTGAAGGGGAAAGCAAAGTGTTGCACCATTGTAGAGTAACCATAGCAATGACCTACTATTACAGACTAAAGAATTATCATTAACAATGTTAAAGTATCAAACAGAGGCCCAGGATCCAGAGACTTCCAGGCAGCATCTCCAGATAATTGGGTTATCCAGGAAGAGGTCCCCACTCTTTCACAGCCCTTGGCTCTGTCACCATCATCTTGGTTCATTCTGTGGGTTGTTGTGGGTTTTGTGGGTTGTTGGGCTTTTTTTTTTGTTGTTTCAAGGAAGTGGATTCACCATGCATTGAAGGAGACACTTGTAAAATAAATAGAAGTGCCCACCAAGGAAAAAAAAAAAAAAAAAAAAAAAAAAAAAAAAAAAAAAAAAAAAAAAAAAAAAAAAAAAAAAAAAAGATATGGAGGGGAATAAGGAAGGGATAAGCAAGGCAGGTCCATTTGACTGCTGGAATATTGTGTGAGGACCTGTTGGGAAGACATGCATGAAGGATGCCTTTGTGTTGCATGGGTTGTTGTTCAGGTCAGGTGCTCTCTTTCTGTTGAAAGTGCATCCACCAGTCTAAGAGCAACACAAAATGAAATTACATGAATCACACCAGCCCTGAGAAGCAGACACTTTTTTCCCCCCAGTTAAGCAGAACATGTGAGGTCCTTTGTGGAAGCTGCACTTCCTGGGGTGCTTTGGGGTACCCCTTTCCCAGACCCGAGATGAGTTCAGCATCTCTGCTCAGTCATCTGGGTGGCTTTGCCTGGGGGGGGTGGGAGGAAGAGGGGGTGTCCATGTGTCTACATGTGTTTCTGTGTCTGTGTGTGCAGTTTTTCCTGCCCAGCTGCCCCCCAAAGCTTGGCAGCAGGGCAGCCCTGCTCCCCCCTGGACCAAGGGCCAGCACCTCCATGGCTTCCCCAGGGTCTTCCATTTAACCCCCCCCTGTGAGTGGAGCTGTCAGCAGCAGCAAAATGGCCCCTGGTCAAACTGTCAACCTTTGTATTTTTGCAGGTACGGAGCGCCACGAACTAACTTCCTGGAAGAGTTTTCCATCCATTTTCAGGTTCTTCAGCGAGGCAATAGAGGCAAAGAACAGCTCAGTGAAACCAACCCCAACACGCCGCTCCAACAGGATCAAATACGAAGAGTTGTAAAAGGAGGAAAGAAACCAAACAACCAACCACAACAACAACACAAAAAAAACCACACCACAAACAACAAAACCCACCACACCACCAACAGCAACAACCTCTCGGGCTGCTTGTTTTCTGCCAGCAGCCTTCCAAGCCCCTCATTAGATTGTTTTCTTCCTAGAGCACAGGGTCGTGATGTATACATCTAAATAGCGTTTTGCATTATTTCTAGATGAGTGCAACTGTCAAAGCAATATGGGTTCACTGGTTGTGCTTCCTGTGGGCTGTAACTCGGATTTTGTGCTGCCCATCAGAGCGCAGATTAAGGCTGACAGTGGTACTGCAGAGTGCAGCGTGGTGCAGCTCTAATTGCCCTGACACAGCCCTGCACCAGGCTGATGCCAGGATTTAACAGCTTCGTCGTGGTCCTGTCGCCTGCAGGATGTTTTGTTTTGGGGTTGTTTTGGGTTTTTTCTGCTGCTTCCTTCTGTACCGAGACAGAACAAAAATGGGAATTGCCCTTTTTTCTGAAGACTCCAGAAGTTACCACCAGCCCGTGATTTTAAAACCCTTCTCACAGCCTTCTCTTTCTCTGGGACCAAGTGGGATCAACTCTTGACTCTTTCATTTTCTGCTGGTAGGAGGGTCCAAGAAGTTTGGTCCAGGTTTATAGGAAAGCCCCTTTGTTGTAGAGATTTTCCCCCTCCTGCCGGATCAATGGCATTATCTGTAGATCTTCTCTTCCTTTTGAAAGCTCCACTTAAACAAAAAAAACCAAAAAAAAACAAAAAAAAAAAAAAAAAGAAAGAAAGAAAAAAAAAGCCTATTCATTAACTGGCTGGATCACACTGTGAAATATGACAGGGAAAAAAAAAAAAAAACAAAAAAAAACCACAAAAACGAGAGAGACACGTTGCACATTTTTCCCGTTTAACTTTTAAAAAGCGAAGATGCTTCTGTTTTCACAATGCCGGGTTTGTAATGACTTTGCCATCCTTTTTTTTCCTTTTCCCTGAGCCTCACGGGTGTGTTCCTGCTTCCCCAGGCGCTGCAGGGGAGGTGGGATAAGGGGATACCCCACGCCACGCGTGGGGCGGGTTTGGGGGGG